ATCTCTCTGCAGGTGAAGCAAAATACCCTTGGTCTCTCTTTCTGGTGGTATCCAAACCTTCTTCCTAACAATGGTGATAGCACTTACTATCTATCAAGTGCTTACTATGCCAAGTATTGGACTCAGTTTCACACACACAGTTTCATTTAATCACTGCAACTCTTTGAGGCAGACACTGTTCACCATTTTTCACAAGACAAAACTGAGGCTCAAACCAGGAAAGTCACTTAGGCAAGGTCAGGCAGCTGGCTAGTGAGTGGTGAAGCTGAGATGATCTAATCCCAGAGCCTGGTGTTAACCTCTTCGCTGTTCAGTTTCCCACAAGATGGAGGCTCCCAGGCCAAGGTTAGGCCCAGGATTCAGCGTAATGGGGTGGACCAGATTCTCCCCCACCCCCTCTCTTTGGGCAGCGTACCCGAGGCCTCTTTGCACACTCCATGTGCTAAGCATCACATAGGGGACCGTGCTTTGTTTATCTTTGTGCTCCCAGCACAGTGCCAAGCACATAGTGGCTGCTTAGCAAAGCCTGTGGTAGAAAGGAAGGATAAAGTTGTATGATGGGCACTGAGTAGTAACTGGCTTCTTGCTGGTGTTGGGGTTTTGAAGACATGCAGGTGAGAACAAACAATACATAGATGAACAACCAACAGATTAAAATTACATTTCCCAATTATGTTTGTCCTTGCCCACTCTACCGCAGCCCCTCTGGCTTCCTTGCTGCTCCAAGCCTTCACCCCCATGCCCTCATGATGGTTCTCTCTCTCACCTTCTTGGAAGTCTGCTCAAATCTCACCTCAGTGAGGTCTCTTTGGGCACCACCTCCCCTCCACCAGTAATCCCAATCCCCCTCACCCTGCCGTATGTTCTCATTTCTGGTGGTACTTACCACCTTTGAATGTTCTGTATAATTCACTCGTTCATTGTGTTTAATGCCTGTTCTCCATCTCCCCACTAGGAATCTCTGTTTTACCAATGTGTCCCACACACCTCAAAGGGTGGGAGCTCAACAAATACTTATTGAATGAATCTCTAAACATTGCCCACTAAGTCAGAGCTGGGCTTGAAATACTCAGAGAAGTGACCTGATTCTCCTACAGTCCCCGGTCCTATGTTTCTCAGAGACTCGTTCCCCCGGCACTTCCCAGTAACTGGAAGGGAGAGATTCTACTTCTCCCAATTCCAGTCACCACAGGGATTGACTGATGATGGTCCTCTTGCGCCCTATAATAAATCTTTCTGCCCTTCTCCTCAGGCCAGGGCTCACCTGGTTCTCCCTAAAGAGCCTCTCTGCATATTGAGTCTGTGCCCCGTAACTGGAGGCACCTGGAGCCATGGAAAACACATGGGCTGGAGAGCTATGCCACAACCTTAGGGTGTCATTTCCACTCTAGCCTCAGTTTCCTCATCTATAAAATAAGGGCTAGGGCCAATGATCTCCTCCAGTCTTTCCCAGTTCTGACATTTTTCCCTGTGGAAGTGGAGGAATGTGTAACCTTGGTCAAAAAAGTAACCAATGTACTTAGAAACAAACCAACCCATGGCCCTGGGGCACAGGACATAGCCACACTCAGATCACAGCAAATATAACCAACAAGGCATTCACAGCATCACATAGGTTAGATTAGCAGCTACCATCTGTTTTCACAAAGCAAGAAAGGCAGTGATTATTATCTCTATTTCACAGATGAGAAGACTGAGGCTCAGAAAGTCTGAACAAGTCGCCCACACATAGGAAGCAGATGAGCCACACTCAAAGCCAGGTCTTCCAACGGCAAATTCCACAGGCTTTCCACACAGAACTGCCTCATTGCTTTTGAAATGCACCCTGGGCCAGGTGCAGTGGCTTATGCCCGTAGTCCCAGCACTTTGGGAGGCTGAGATGGGCAGACTGCTTGAGCTCAGAAGTTCGAGACCAGCCTGGGCAATATGGCAAAACCCCATCTCTACAAAAAATACAAAAATTAGGTGGGCTTGGAGCCTGTGCCTGTAGTTCCAGCTACTTTGGGGGCTGAGGTGGGAGGATTGCTTGAGCCCAGAGGTGGAGGTTGCAGTGAGCCAATATCAGGCCACTGCCCTCCAGCCTGGGTGACAAAATAGAAAAGAAAGAAAAAGAGAGAAAGAGAGAGAGAGAAAGAAAGAGAAAGAAAGGACAAACCCTGTAGGAGAATGCCACCATTAGATTATCCAAAATGTCAATAATCTAAATTATTAGTCTATATGATTACAGAACATAAAATTGGAATTTACATTTGTATGTGGTTATGTCTCCTATTCTAGACATTTATTTATTTATATCAAATAATGCAATACCGACACCCTGGGAAGACATCCCTCTGAAAGACCTGAGAAAGTGATTCCTGGTAGGAATAGACAAGTCATCTCTCAATGGTAGCTAAGATGAGCCTCTTTCCCCATCTCTTTCAAAACTTTCCCCAAGATATACACGATTGAGTGTTTATAGTTTCAAGGATTTCCCAGCTACAAACAAAAGAACCAACAACAAAGATAATTCAATCGATTGGGTACTACGAGTAGAGGAGTATCTTCTATGTCAACAGAGTAAGAAAACAAAGAAAGTGCTAAATTGAAAAACTAGATTTGTCTAAATCTGAGAGACTATAACTGGTTCAGAGCCTTGTTGACAGCCCCGTTTTTCCGGATTCAAACGCAGCCTCTACTACCATCTCTCACAAAATGATGACGAGCAATGACAGCACCCACCACGCTAGACAAGTTTGACTGGGAAGCCTTGGATAGGGAGAACTTCATTTTGAAGAGAAGCTTTGTAGATTCTCATCTCTTCATAGGACTATCTCAGGGAGGGCGCAAGCTTCAGGAATCAGCATGTACTGAATATTCCCAAAGAAAGAATGATTGGATTTCTTCCCTTCATCCTCTGACTTCTTGCCTCATTGATATTGCAGGGATCAGCCTTGACTATCTATTTTTAACTGAAGGATTTCCTAGAGGGCATTGTCCCAGTCAGTGTGGACCCTCAAACTTGGGAGTTCAAAAGAAATCAGACATCTAAAGTAAACAAGGTTTTGGGCTAGTGACCATTTTATTTAAAATGGAATTGGGAACTCACACACATTGGTATCATCCTGTTTCAAACTGCCCCCATCAAAATGCAATATGTCCATGACACCAGAAAGGACAGGAAAGGCAGGTGGGGTGAGGAAGCAAGTGCTTAGATTTTGTTTGTCTAGTTTACCCTCAAAGTTGTCTTCAATTTAGTAATCATACATTGCAGATTTCATAAAACAATGTAAGTTTCAACTATTTTTGCTCCATTGTTTTCACCAATAAAATTGTAGGATGAAATGCCCCTATTTTTGGTTTGGAAATGTAGTCAAAATAACCATTTTTTATACTAATAATAGTCAGTGCCAGATAATGGGAAGGGAGTAGGCCTCAGAGAGCATGTGTCCATGCCCTCCAAGCTGGCTTCCCAAGCATCATTCCTCATTAAACCACATTAGAATTTAATCCAGGAGCCTCCTGGTGAGCAAAACCATCATATCCCCATTTAACAGATGAAGGCACTAAAGTCTAAAAATGTTAGCTGACGTTGATTCAACTTCCGCCACTCGAAAGTATTTGTAATTATGAGTGAAACATGGTGAGAAATGCTATTACTTTGACAAATGGCAACAGAATTATTTGTAGTGTTAAGGCTCATTTCAGAGAGGGAGACCACCCTGCTGAAGGTTTGTTTATGTTTCTTTTTTATTGTTTTGATCTTTTTAGAAATCTTTTTTCCTTTTATTTTTAGTTGACATATAATAATTGTGCATATTTATGTGATACAGAGTGATATTTCAATACGTGTATACAATGTGTAATGATCAAATCAGGATAATTAGCATATTCAGCATCTCAAACATTTAGCATTTCTTTCTGTTGGGGACAATCAAAATCCTCTCCTCTAGCTTTTTGAGACTATACAATAAAATAGTTAACAGCCTGGCACGGTGGCTCACGCCTGTAATCCCAGCACTTGGGGAGTCCAAGGCGGGCAGATCACCTGAGATCAGGAGTTTGAGACCAGACTGGCCAACATGGTGAAACCCCATCTCTACTAAAAATACCAAAAAAAAAAAAAAAAGAAAAAAAAATTAGCTGGGCTTGGTAGTGGGCGTCTGTCATCCCAGCTACTCAGGAGGCTATGGCAGGAGAATAATTTGAACCTGGGAGGCGGAAGTTGCACTCCAGCCTAGGTGACAGAGCGAGACTCTGTCTCATACACGCACACACACAAATAATAAAAATAATAAATAAATTAATTAATTAATTAATGTTAACCATATTCACCCTACAGCACTGCAGACCACCAGAACCCATTCCCCCTATCTAGCTGTGCTTTTGAATCTATTAGCAACATGTTCCCCATCCTTTCTTCCCCTACTACTACCCTTCTCGGCCTCTAATATCCACCATTCTGTTGAAGGCTTTGAGAGACAAGAGCAAACCACCAATAAAGGATGAAATATGGTCCTTTGGAAAGGACCAACCACTCTCGGTCTGACTCGGGCCAGAGGGATGCACACAGGTGACCACTTACTGTCCCTACATCATTAAGATTCTCCAAGCTGATGATCAGGCCTCGGGAAAATGCCCCTAGGCTCGAGTGCTCTGGAGAGACGCCAAAGGTTTACTGATGTACAGGCCCAGTCTGCTGCTAAAAGAAACTTTGGGAGGCACAGAAGCCCCATCTAAGCTTTCACACATCAGCTTTCCCATCCTCCTCCCCTCAGTGCCCAACACAGCTCTCCCATTCTCTCACTCCCATTGTTTCCCAAACATCCCTCCCTTCATAAAAGCTGTCTGGCTGGGAGCTTAAAATATTGCTGGACAGTAAAACCTACCCATCAGGGCCAATCCAGTCATATCTGCTCAGTCGTGCAGCACAGTAGGGGCGGGGTAGAGAAGTGGGAGGTGGGCTTTTAGGCAGCAAAGGAAAGAGACGAAAGTTGCCATTTTGCTGCTGAGCGCCAAGAGAGAAAGACAGCACATATTTCTCCGTGGGACACTCCTCATATTGGCAAGTTTTCCTTAAGTGATATTAGTTTGTAACCTTCCCCCCATTTGTTCTTTCTCAGCCTAATCTAAGGGCCATATATAGGCTTCTCCAAAAGGAAAAAGATTGCCAGTAAGATTCAGTCTTGGGCTGGGATGGCTGGACTTACACTCCAACTCTGAAAACCCTCTTCAAGTTGACCTAAGAACTGGCAGAGGTTTGGAAGGGAGAGGAATGCTGGAATAATCGGGAGGATAGGGAAACAGAGGTGTCCAAACTCAAACTACAATTTGACTTCTTAAGCTCTTTTCATTTTTCAGAATGAATCAACACGTCTACAGGAATCCACAGGGACCTAAACCAAGTATTTGATATTTATGAAAAAGTTCTGTGCCCTTTTCACTCAATTCTACAATAGGAATAATAGTCTTAATTATTGAATGCTGTGGGGGTAGCGAAGGCTTTGTGCTCAGCATTTTCCATGTTGGAGCGTTTAATGGAGCACAGGAATGGATCTGGCTAAGGACCATAAAATTCTTCCTAGGAGTATGTTCTGTTGTCTGTCTATGAGAACTGCTGGCTAGTGGCTGTTCTAGAAACAAGAAGAGAGGCACATTTCCACTTGGTTACTAACCAGAGTGGTAAGTGGCCATTGAATGCTCTGGAGAACTTATTAATGGATGTATATGTGTTATTCTGCCTCTTCAAAACCAGAGGAGGGCTATGCTATAATGGGCTTAGATCTGGAAGACCAGGGCTCACATCCTAGCTCTGCCCTCACTAGCTAAGCCCCATCTTGGAGACTCATTTAACCTCCCAGCCTGTCTTTCTGTCTGGGGATTGATAATGCCAAATTCACTGGTTCTCAAACATCCACCTGAGGGTCTGTCAGTTCTAGCCCAAGATGACACACAGCCTGTGACCAAAATGTGACAATGACGAAGTTAATGATGTAGTAAATGTTTCACCAAGTTAAGTGTGTTCAATTTAAAGGCTTGTCTTTTATTCTGAAATTATGTCCTCTCTGGTTTTATAGTGTTAAAAATCCTCTTTTATGAAATGATGATGAAAACAGACTGTAGTTGTAGTTAGTGATTTAATAACTCTTTTTTTTTTTTTTGAGACAGAGTCTCGCTGTGTTGTCCAGGCTGGAGTGCAGTGGTGTGATCTCGGCTCACTGCAGCCTCCACCTCCCGGGTTCAAGCAATTCTCCTGCCTCAGCCTCCCAAGTAGCTGGGATTACAGGTGCCCACCACTGTGCCCAGCTAATTTTTGTATTTTTAGTAGAGACAGGGTTTTGCCATGTTGGCCAGGCTGATCTTGAACTCCTGACCTTAAGTGATCCTCCCACCTCGGCCTCCCATAGTGCGAGGATTACAGGCATGATCACCACGTCCAGCCAATAACTCTTATTTTTATGTCCTTGATTAGCAAAATAAGGAGTTGGCATCCTTATGTTGGTCACACTAGTTTGTTGTGATTATACTAGTCTGTGAAATCTAAGTCTGAGAACCACTGGCCTAGTTCACAGCTTGTTATGAGGACTGAAATAAGATACGTGAAAATACATTACTTAGATCAAGGATACCCAAACATAAGGTGTTATTTTAATCATTACCTCTAGCCATCATTTTCTGGTGGGATGTTCCTGGCCATATATGGACACCCTAGGGTTGGAAGCTTGAACTCCATCCATTGATTTTCCATCTGTAATAGGTCTGTTCACTAAATTTTCACAAGCAAAATAAAACAGAGAATTATCTCTGAAAAAGAGAAGAGAAGTATTATTCCTTCAGTTCAGATTTCTCTCTGCTCCCATAGAATGCTTTGCTTCTCTGCTCTGACTTCCTTTAGATTTTCACTGTTAGAGGTCAGGAAACAAAGACATTTCCCTTCACACCTCCAAAGTGTGTCTCCTTAACAGCACAGTAGGCCTGTTCCAACATCATGGGGTTGGAAAGATTGTGTCCTAAATGACAGTTTCTCTCCTTCAGTTATCACACGAAACTTTGTAACTAGACATTTTTTAAAAATACAATCTTAGCATGGCGGCTTAGAGTATAGAAAGACACTGGCTTGTTTGGCTTTGGTTTCGAAATTACTAATGAGGTGGTCAGGAGCGACTTCTTGTGTCATGGACATGTATCATGACTCTTGTGTCAAGAATTGTTGGCCTTCCAGTTTATATCTTTGATCTCATACAAAATAAGCAGTTTTGTGTCTCAGAGCAGCTGGTTGGGGATCAATTTACTATCCTTTTTGTTATTTACCATTTTTTGCAAGTTCTTAATTTTTCTGCTGTTAGCTGTAACAAGAGGACTGAAGATCCTCGGTCTCTAGTACTCATATTACAGGAATTTAGGGATTGAAAATTTCAGATTTCAGGAGGATTACCATCAGAACCATGCACTGCTGTCTGTGGAACTCCCACTCTGTGAAGAGCTTTGTTCTGTGTTGTGATGGTTCACAAAAGATGAGGCCAAAATGGTTCCTGCCCTCCAGAACCTTTTGATACTAAAGGGAGGGAAACAAGATTGGTTAACATACAGGGCTGAGAGCATGTGCTCATTACGCACATTCATGTGGGTATGTGAGTGAAATACACATACTTGTGTGGTACAATACAAGTAAGGTTGTCAAAAATGAACTGATGTATCAATGAGGGTAAGTATTAGCAAGATAGTTAAGATTAAGTAAGATATTAATAAGATAGTAAGATATTAACCAAATCTTATAGAAGTTATTGAAATTGCTGTTTTAACATAAAGTTTAGAATGAATTATTTGATAAGAAATGAACTTTTTCCTGGCTCTGCCACTGGTGAGCTTTATGCTTGGGCTGCTTACCTGATTGTGATGTTTCCCACCTATTTTCCAAAAGGCAATGGGAACCACTACTACTCTTACCAGGGCAAGTACTAGACTTAACTGTAGTCTTAAGAGTTAAAAATAGATACATGTGGCTGGGACTGAGTTGCTGGTTCTGATTCCGAGCTGCTGGTTCCCTCCCCCTCTCCATTACCCATTCCTACAAGGAACTCTTCCCAATGCCAGACCCATGACTGGGGATGCCACAGCTGCTGTCACCTTTTCAGGAGAAGAGAAGCTGCTGTAGGATGCCCTGTCTGATTGGGAGTTTATGAGGCCTCAAGAGGAGAAGCACTTTCTGGTCTCCCACAAGAAGAAGCAAACAGCTATTGTGCCTGCCCTGTCAGCACAGGCTGGACTTTGCAGATGCTTGCAATTAGTATCCTGCCATCAGGTTCTGTCTGGCCAGACTCCAAATCACAGGTTGGAAATAGGCTTTCATGTTTAACAAATATCACTGTGATTAAAAAGCAATAGGCATATCCCTTTAGCCCCATGAGTTCCTGGTCCTATATCGTGGGGCATGGCCAGAAGAAGCCCAGAGCAGGATCCTCTAACATGGGCTCTTGCCCTGGTCTGATGGCAGTGACGAGTAAATTTTACAACTCTAGAGATGTTCAAGCTGGAGGAACAATCGTTTTTCATTGAGGTGGAAGTTTTGCTCATTCTTTATAGGTTACAGGTTTGCACTGGATGAATGACCCAGTTGCAAGCAGCTCCTTGTCAGCTCAATGCCATTTCCATTAGCCATTGCTGTGCTAGAGGCATTATATACTATCATGTTTAATGATATTTTTTCTAGAGACCAAATTTCTAACTCTATTAAAACAGCCATATACTACAGACCCTGAAACATTTTCATTCCGTAGGACACTTAAAGTGTCCTAGAAGACCTTCCTCATCCTGTGACATGATTCCTTCCCAAAGCATTCTCTCTGTTCTTCGGATTTAAAAGAGTAATAGTAAAAATATACTGCCCTCAATGTGTAAAGCTATTAATAAGGGTTTTCAGATTTCAACCTAGAGAAGAGGAAACATAAATTAAGAGCACAGAAGTCAGAGAATTGTGTAGCTCTGATTGCAGGCAGTTTATCTCAATGGCGTAGTGGGAAGAACCCAGCCTTTGTGATCAAGCGAACAGAACTGCTGCTATTTAGCTGTCTAATCTTGGACAATATATTTAGCCTCTCTGAGCCTCAGATTTATTTTTTCTTTTCTTTTCTTTTCTTTTTTTTTCTTTGAGACAGGGTCTTTCTCTGTTGCCCAGGATGGAGTATGGTGGCACAAATCAGGGTTCACTGCAACCTTGACCTCCCAGGCTCAAGCAATCCTCCTGGGTCAGCCTTCCAAGTAACTGGGAACACAGGAATGCACCACCAAGCCCAGCTAATTTTTGAAGTTTTTTGTAGAGATGGGGTTTCACTGTGTTGCCCAGGCTAGTCTTGATCTTCTCGGCTCAAGTGATTCTCTTGCCTCGGCTTCCCAAAGTTCTAGGATTACAGGCATGAGCCACTGTGCCCGGCCTTCAGTTTTCTTTTTTGTTGGAATCAAGTTAGTTAACAAATACTTACCAAGTTCTTACTGTGTGCTGGGCTGTATGTCAGGCATTGAGTACATAGCAGTAAATAAGATAGGCGTGACTCCTGCCCTCATGGAAATTACAGTCTAGCCGAATCAAGTTAAATGAAATAATATGTCAAAGTTCTTTCCCAAAGTTGATATTCAATAAATGCTAATCCCCTTCCACTTCCCTTCAAATATATGATCATTATATATTCTGACACAGTCAAACACAAGGTGGCCACAGACAATTTCATACATACAAGAATTTTGTTGGGAGCCCAGACACCCATAGTATAAGATAATTCTTCAGTATTATGTCTCACGAAACTTAGATCAGTGTGTGGTCTTGATTTAAATCCATGTAACCAAGGATTTCTATTTATGGTCAACAATGAATCCTTATTTTTGGTGGAGTTTAAGGAATTATACAGATATTGCCTCACTGATGCTTTCAGACCATTTGTGAAGTGAATGAGAATAGGTATTATTATTATTAAACCCACTTCACAGATGAGGAAGCGAATGGAAGCAGATTCTTTGGGGCCTCCTTTGTTCTCTAGTCCTAGTCTGCACAGAGGAAGCACTGGATAGACGCTGTTTGCACATTGACTGTTCCGGCAACTTGGAAAGGAGAGGTATCCCGCGTTAGCAAAAACAGATATTGACTCAGGGTTGCACCGAGGCCGCTCAGTTCTTGCCTTCTCCCTCATTTCTTCAGGTGGGTGAGAAATGGGCGACTGGAGTTTCCTGGGGAACATCTTGGAGGAGGTGAATGAGCACTCCACTGTCATCGGCAGAGTCTGGCTCACCGTGCTTTTCATCTTCCGGATCCTCATCCTTGGCACGGCCGCGGAGTTCGTGTGGGGGGATGAGCAATCCGACTTCGTGTGCAACACCCAACAGCCTGGCTGCGAGAACGTCTGCTACGACGAGGCCTTTCCCATCTCCCACATCCGCCTCTGGGTGCTGCAGATCATCTTCGTCTCCACCCCGTCCCTGATGTACGTCGGGCATGCGGTGCACTACGTCCGCATGGAGGAGAAGCGCAAAAGCCGTGAGGCAGAGGAGCTGGGCCAGCAGGCGGGGGCTAACGGCGGTGAGAGGGGGCCCCTCAGCCCGGACCAGGGCAACGTCAAGAAGAGCAGCGGCAGCAAAGGCACCAAGAAGTTCCGGCTGGAGGGGACCCTGCTGAGGACCTACATTTGTCACATCATCTTCAAGACCCTCTTTGAAGTGGGCTTCATTGTGGGCCACTACTTCCTGTACGGGTTCCGGATCCTGCCTCTGTACCGCTGCAGCCGGTGGCCCTGCCCCAATGTGGTGGACTGCTTTGTGTCCCGGCCCACGGAGAAGACCATCTTCATCCTGTTCATGTTGTCTGTGGCCTCTGTGTCCCTCTTCCTCAATGTGATGGAGTTGGGCCACCTGGGCCTGAAGGGGATCCGGTCTGCTTTCAAGAGGCCCGTCGAGCAGCCCCTGGGGGAGATTCCTGAGAAATCCCTCCACTCCATTGCTGTCTCCTCCATCCAGAAAGCCAAGGGCTATCAGCTCCTAGAAGAAGAGAAAATAGTTTCCCACTATTTCCCCTTGGCCGAGGTTGGGATGGTGGAGACTGCCAAGCCTTTCAATCAGTTCGAGGAGAAGATCACCACAGGACCCCTGGAGGACTTGTCCCGGGGCTACCAAGAGACACTGCCTTCCTATGCTCAGGTGGGGGCGCAGGAAGTGGAAGGCGAGGGGCCGCCTGCAGAGGAGGGAGCTGAACCCGAGGTGGGAGAGAAGAAGCCAGAAGAAGAGAGGCTGACCACGGAGGAGCAGGAGGAGGAGGCTGTGCCAGAGGGGGAGGAAGTAGAGACCCCCGGAATGGGGAAGGAGGGTGAAAAAGAAGAGCTGCAGTCGGAGAAGGTGTCAAAGCAAGGGCTGCCAGCTGAGAAGACGCCTTCACTCTGTCAAGAGCTGACAACAGATGAGGCCAGACCCCTGAGCAGGCTGAGCAAAGCCAGCAGCCGAGCCAGGTCAGATGATCTAACCGTATGAAGTGATGCCAAAGGAAAAAAAAAAAAAGCCCAAGCTTACATAGGGCAAGATGAAAGGAAAAGGTGCCAACATGATCTGAATCTTCTGTCTCCTGCCCTCGCCCCAGCCCCTGATTGGACAGGCACTGCAGCGGGGCGGTGCATGCCACGCAACTAGGAAACAGTCTTTCCCACATCCAATGTAAGGGCTACCAAGATAAACCCATTGACCCACTAAAGTTCCCCAGTCCCATAGGACTGACCCCTTCCTCCAACCCCAACAGCTATGGGGTACTCTTCTTTCATCCCCATTTCTCCGTAGAAACCCTTACATCAGAATTGGGGTTGCCTCATAGCCTTTTACCAGTCTTGTCTCAAGCTCACTAAGCCAGAATCTATCATCCCAGCGTTTCTGAAGCAAATACCATGTGACCATATTTCAGGGATCCACACTCAAAAGCCTACAAAATACAGACAGGTGACTTAAGTTGCAAAGCAGGCCTGCTCTAATGCAAGGGAGAGAATGGGGCTGTGAAAGTTGGAGAGCAGGGGGAGCTACTGCTCACTTCCAGACAATGAGTACCATGAAGTGTTACCTGGTCTTTCTGATTTTTCAAGGGAAGCCAGAAATCCAACTTTTTTTTTTTTTTTAGACAGACTCTCTGTTGCCCAGTCTGGGGTGCAGTGGCACAATCTCAGCTCACTGCAGCCTCAACCTCCCAGGCTCAAGTAATCCTCTCACCTTAGCCTTACAAGTAGCTGGGACTATAGGTGCACACCACCACACCTGGCTAATTTTTGTATTTTTTGGGTAGAGATGGGGTTTCACCATGTTTCCTAGGCTGGTCTCAAACTCCTGGGTTCAAGTGATCCACCTACCTCAGCCTCCCATAATGCTAGGATTACAGGTGTACACCACCATGCCTGGCCCATGAAATCTAAATTTTAATTGAAATTTTCAAAACTGTTAATGTTGGCAACTAAATTTTAAATACAACATGTAGGCCAAATTAAATATGTGCAAGCCACATTTAACCTGTGAGGCACCAATTTGCATTATCAGCTTATGCTAATTAGCCCAGCTTTCCTATGGAATTGGTCTTATTATTTATGGTCTCAACTTGTTTCAGTAGCTCCCAAACCTTATTTCACCACTTTAGAGTGTTTTGTTTAAATCATCAGTCCAGGAGATATCTAGAGTTCTCACTGACCATTTTTCTGGGTTATTGTAGCCCCTGGATTCTGAAGCAATAATATGCTTTGTATTGGTGGGAATTCTGCCCTGGGTACCATCAGAGAAAGACAGCAAGTTGCCAAAACTCTCTCTTTGAAATCAAAAGGCTTTGAGGCCTGATCGTAGTTTTTTTTTTTTTTTCCCCTGAAAGCAAAGAAGATCCTTTCTTTACTCCCTTCTTGCATCATCAGTGCTCAGCCTAAAAGCTATACCTCTTTTCGTTAGGGACTAGAAGCAAGCCCAGTTTTGAGCTGGAGGACACCTGCTCACAGGTGTGTCCTGGGAAGAGGCAGCTCTCAGGCCTTGTTCAGGCATGAGATCAAAAGGGCCATCAGAGTGGTGCCAGAGGGAGCCTCTCACAAAGTGGGTGCTCACACAGCTAGGATCCCAAAGTGGAGTCTCAGGCGAAGCTTCATCCCTGGAAAGGACACAGAGGCTAAAGGGAACAAGAAGAATCTTGAAGGGCTCCAGTCCTCATACTCCCACAACTCACCCTCCTCAAACACAGAGTCTATTCAGGGGGAATCCTCATGTACACGTACATATTTCGTAACAGGAGCAATTTTACCCTCAGCCAATCGATTTCCAGAGCAGGGAGAGAAAACTAAGATGGTTCACGTAAACCAACACGATGCTTCATGGACTGCAGTGCCAAAGATCGGGTTGGAGGTATAGAAACCAAGTTGACATGGCAGGGACCTAGACAGGAGACCAGCAAGGGGCCCAAAAGAGGCACTTAGAAAAACTGCCTTTGTTGTATCTTCCCAACCCCAATCAGCACCATCTCAAAGTATTGCAATCCCCTTTGCTGCCCTCTGGTTACCACTTTCCTTTTAAGATATTCATTCAAGATATACTTTTCCAAAGCAGGCCTTTTCCAAAACTATTCCTCCCCCTTGACAAAATGTCCATTCCTTGGTGACCCATTCTAAAGCAAAATAGTCTAAAAATCAAATTCATTCTAAAGTTTATTTGTTTGGTAACTACTCCCGGGAAAATTGCATTTAAAAGAGAAAGACCTAGGTAACCCAAAGTAACAAACCTTCAGTGGAAGGATGTTGAATAGAAGAGGTATGTTTATCTTGGAGACACGTGACTTTCTGGCTACTGCTTGATCTTACCCCTAGCAGGCACCCTTATTCCACACAGACCTTCTCCTATATGGTGAGACGATGAAGAAAATCTGAGGCCTGAGAACCAGAGAGTGCATCCTTGACCCTAATGGCTGCACTATTGCTCCTATAGTTTTGTTCCTGAAGATGCATTTTAGGAAGAGCCTTATGAATAGCTTGATCATTACCAGAATAAAGTGTCTATCTCAACTAGAGTCTAATACAAAAAAGAAAAGAAAAAGAAAAACAATATCCTGTTCTAAGTAAAACTGCTGTTTGGTACCAGTTGTAGAAATGTGGGCTGCTGGTCTCCTTATCTCAGGTGAGACATAAATTTGTGAGTGAGTGTCTTTCCTCAGATGAAGCAGCATCCTGCTTCAATGTACATACCCACACTGTCCCCACATTTTCCCTCTTAGTCTTCCCAATAAAAGAAGAAGCCTATTTAGGAAGAAACAGACACAGGCGTCAAGGGGCTGCATTTTTTTTTTTTTTCTATTTCTGACAATTAGTAGCTCTGTCATTATTGTGCCTTGAGCTCTCTGTACTTCAGTTTTCTGTCTACAAACTAGAGCTGGCATTTGCCACCTACCTACGTCCAGGGGTGTCGTAAAGATTGAGTTGGCTGCCAAGCATGAAGCCTGCTGAGTGGTGCCATTCCCTGAGAGATTCCTCCAACAGCAATGAGACTGGGAACAAGGGCAAGTGGATGGTTTCCATCTGTCCCCCCAACCTGCCTCGTAGTTAGCTGGTGAGTTTCTCAACATGAAATAGACACTCTAGAGATCAGTTTTCTCAGAAGAGATTCAAAACAGAATCTTAACCCCATATGTTTAGTAGGAACCTGAGGCTCATTGACCTTAAGAAATGATTGGAGACAGATTGCCAATTACTTTCATCCTCTGAGAAAGAGGTCCCATCTTAAGCTGCCACACAAATGCAGCCAGTTTCCATTCAGAAGCAGCTGCATGTCTGTGGTAGTCCTTACTCTAGGCAGCTGCACCCCTCAGCATCTGTTTTGAGGCATATAATTATGACTACTCAGGATTATAATCCCCATGGGCTTCATTATGTCCAGATTTTATTTCTACTCCTAGTCGGTCCCTTGTTAGATAAAAACCCTTGGGCACATGGACCTACCAATAAAAAGATGCATTAGACAACGGGACATCAGTAGTACAGCTCCTTCCAGAGGAAAAGGGCTAAGCACTTGAGAGCAGTTCTAACACCACTATCAGGGGAGATCTGTGACCAAGGATAGAGGTACTCAAAGTTCAGTGAGAAAGATTTGAGCCTGGCTGTGTAAACCCTGGCCTAGTGTTTTGGGCGTTGTAAAAAAACAAAAAAAAATCCTGTCTGCTTTTCACCATGTCTTTGTCCCCTGCCACACAGGGGAAGCATCCAGTACAGCATTGGACAGATATTCCTGAAGGTCTGTGTGACCTGGGGACCTACAAAGAACACTGCCATTCAAGTCAGGGGTGTTGACTGCCCCTCCTGACTCTGCGTATGCCAAATGCCACTTACCTGCTCTATGAGACAATTTTTTCTATGTTAATTGAGGATGATAAGTTCTGCCCCTCCTTCGCAAGATGTTATAGGTCTTTTAAAAGCTCACTTATTTGGAAATAAATGGAAAAGAAAGAAGCCATCATCAAAATTTGTAAGTCCATATTGTAAAAGGTATACTGAAGCAGTGACAGTCATCACTTTCAAATACTGCGTAGATTGTTAACTAAGATACTGATAAAAAGTGAGCCAATAACTAAAATAAGGGAAATAAATTTGGAGGGGCAGCAGGCAGTCTTGAATTCCTAAGAATTACGGTACAAAAAAAAAAAAAAAAGAATGTCTTTAATCACTCAAGAATTGGCTGCCAAAAGAGATGCTAAAGGTACTCGAATTACTAGAGCTCACATACGGAGAAGCGTCAAACCCTGAGACAATCTTTGACTCATGGCAGAAGGGGCTCCATGGCTACAGAAAAAGCTGCATGCAAGAACTCTTCAGTCCAGGCCATGTGGAAGGCCTAGGAGAAGCCTGATACAAACCACTGCTCTGCTCCTCTCCAGTTCCTGAGAAGGGTCAATAGGCATGCTCTAATTAAGAATGGGAACACCAGCCCAACTGCATGTCCCATTCCATTCCCCCAACCTCCTCTTCTCTCATTTCCCTGACCATGATTTACCCTCTATGCATATCATGTGCAAATGATTGCACAACCCAACTTAGCAAAGTTTAGATGAGAAAGGTTTGCCTGATTGGAAGAAAAACTCTTCTGCGTGTAAATACAATCTGTAAAACTAGTTAAGTGTGTACCTAGAAATGATAGTAAAATAGGTAGGGAGACTTTCCCCTTTTGCAAGTATTGTATTATAACTAAATATGTACTTGGGGAAGGGAGGAGAAAAAGGAAACAAAGTTCTTGGTTCAGCGGTTGAGTAAGAGGAAAGAAAAACTTTTATGAAAGACAGTTCATTCTCCACTGCCCTAGACATTGCGGCTCCCAGAGCCAGGAAAAAGTGGTATTCAGCTCTGGCAGTAGCCACCAAGTTGCAGTGGGATATCCCATAGCCTCCAGCGCCACTGCTTTCTGGAAGTTCTACAGAGCAGACAAAGAAGATTCTAAAAGAATTCATAAGGTTGCCTGAAGGGAAAAGTAGATGGCCCCATGGCCTTTTTCTGCAA